AAACTCTCTAATTCCAGCACTGGCTGCTTATTTGGCAGAATGTCATGCTGTTTTGCTTTAGACATTGTTTGCAGTACCTTTACTTGTATTTTGTGGGCAAATGCTACGCTCCAACTACCCAAAAATGTGCTGTTCTCATTTGGCTTTTGAAATCTCTGTTGAGATCTCTTGCAAGGCCCACTCTAAATACAAGTTGGGTTTTTGAAGGATGGTTTGTGGCCTTTGTGGATTAAAAGAAAAGTGACAAACAATACTGAGATCCACAGCAACCCAGAAAAGATGTGAGCATTTCCTTGATTTCTTTTCAAAAGAGTAATAGTTTCACAATTGATTGTGGAGGTCAGCCCCCCTCCCCCTAGCTTGCACTGTAACTTTTGTCCTTCTGTGTGAAAGCCGTGAAATTATACCTTGCTGAAATAGTGATTCCTCTTGTCTCAAGCTTGTGAAGTGAGGATTCTTTGCAGCAAGATATTTAGGATATTTTTTGGTGGCAAGTTGAAAAACACATGATGACTTTTTTGAGACAAAGTTCTTTGTGAGATTGTAAATAACATATGATACCTGAAGTTCTCGCTTGGCTCATCTTGCTTCTTCTTGTTTAGATTTGGAAGTTGCAAGCAAAGATGCTTGACACTTGGGGACAAACCTGTGCCTCATGTTTGTGCCTTACAGGCTTCATACACTGGTTCATGCCAAGGCAAATCTTTCTCTTCTCACAGTTTCTTTTGGCAGTTTTGTGTGACATGATTGAGAAAATGTAGACATTGAAATAATTTTTAATGCCTTAGATCCTTGTGAAGAACTTGTCAAGCATTGTTATTAAAATGAAAAAATTCTAAAACTTATTGAAGCATTGTCTTGAAATTGCCCCTTGAACAGATGGTATGCTGATGAGAGGATCATTACACTAGTATAGGTGAATTGCAGGATTGTGTTCATTTGTGCAAGTGTTCTGTTCTAGATTTGTGGGAATGCATTCTAGTGTGAAATGGTTAGTTTGAACCACACTATGTTTTTTAAGTTCTTCTGGGAACACAATGTAAGAAAATCCCAATTCTAGTTCCTTCCTTTTCAGTCCCATAAGTTGGGCCAATAGCTGCAGTAAATGACAGGACTTTGAGTTGCATTGGTGTTCCATGTTGTACTCTGAGATTTCAACTTTTGACTGTTCACAATTTTGTACATGATGATAAATCATACCATTTAAGGTCTCAGTTATAATGAAAGCCAGTTCAAACTGAGAAGGAGGTTTATGACTGTACCAGGTTTCTGTTCTTAACAAACATGGCTGCCCTCCATTAAACTCCTTCAGTGTTGTGGCAATGCTTTTGAATATGTGGGTCCCTCACACCTTAAGTGTGACGTAGGCTTGACCTTCAACACATTCTGGAGTAAAGATAAGGTCGGATGAAATCAAGGGAACTGTTGGCCTTCTCTGAATTGCTCATGGTGTGCTGGCTACAATTTGAATGTGAGGAAAGTTTGACTCTCCAGAGAGGATAGTGAGTTAGAGTTTAGAGAAATTCTGTTTATTGTGTACAAATGTAAAATG